AGATATAAACTAGGCTTAGTCCGAAACATCTGCCTCTATTCCAGCCTCTGACGGCTAAGCCCTAATTATGAACATTTGTCGACTGGGGAGGGATCAGAAAAACTGGGCCCTGTTTTAAGAAGATTTTCCGCACTTCCAAAAGTACAGGTTTTCCTAGACATCTTATTTTACCTCGAATACACCAAACCCCGATACTGGTTTGGTAGGTATATGAAAAGGGGCATTACCGCTATTTGTCCGTTTTATTTGTATGTTAAAATGGGGCTCATCGAATTTACTTTGACCTTTGAAACATTGTCAAGATTAATTTGTATGATTTACTATGTTTGTGACAAATAAGGTCTTGGCATGAATGGACTTTAGTGTGGATATGTTGTTATATATGCGTGAAATGAATATTTGATCGATTTCAACGCACGCGATAGTTCACCAATTGGCCACACAGCACCGCAGTTAACAACAGACCCTTAAAGAAGAAGATAGGTTTACTGCTACCCGCTACGTATTGACTAATATGGGAGTATAAAATAATAATATTTATTTATGGATTATTTTTGACAAATTCAGCTAAAGCGAGTAAACCCTGTAAAGTTTCTTGTCCGCTGGGTAAAATCTTATCTGCCGGGAGCAGGAAACCGTATTCTCCTGTATCTCGTAACTCCACCCCATACGAGTATTTCACACTGGCGTTACTGTAAGTCCAGTCAGCACTGCTTCCACTGGCCAAATCTGAAATAGAATGATTTATATCTGAACAAACTTGAGAGATGAAACTACTCAACGCCATCTGCCAAGATGTCTGAGGCCAACCGACAAAATCACGATCTGCCTTCTTCAACAACTTGAGCATTTTCTGTACTGAGATTTACCACATTGATAATTGGAAACATGTCGACTCTTGAAACACCACTATTGGTTTCATATAAACCCGGAGAATCCAGCGTTTTCCCGTGATACAGAGAAAGAAAGCAGATAGTCAGCTAAAAGACTCATACTTACAAATGGTGGTAGCGATTGGTCCGTAGACGTATTTAGTACCATGGACTTCTGTTATGGCTTCTGTAGCAGCTTTAGACGAGGCCTCCTGATAAGAGAAAAATGAATAAATTTTTTATGAGAATTAGTCAAATGCCTAGCACCACCGTGGACATCCTCACAATGGTCAAGCTATTTCTAACTCTGCTATCTATTCAGCTTCTGATAGATATTTTGACTATATTTGCTGGACAAATTTCAAAATAGCTATCAGAGGCTGGAATAGAGGCAGATGTTTAGATCTAGAACTCTTGACAACGTGAAAATTCACTGTGGAAGAAAGCGATATAATACCACAGAATGACCTGTTCTGAGAGTTTTATTTGATTCGCATATCGCTTATTATTATGGTTAATATCTTTTTCTCCTGGATCTCTGATATGTCAAGGGCTTTTCTTTCCCAAAGATCGTTTCGAGGATACTTAACTTGGCTTTTAATGATAATGATTTATACCTGTTGGGTGTAGTCAGCGGGGAGATTTTTAGTCCAACCAAACGGTGACATCCACAGCTGGGAATAACTATGGAAATCAATGAAGATTTTAAATGTTCCTTTTGGTTTTGATAAAATGAAGTCTGCTACGCCCTTTACGACGGGTTCTGAGAAGGCTTTAGGACCACAATATGTTTCTGAACAGGGATTACGACCGCCAGGACCAGATTCTGAAAAAGAAAGACCATATCAAATCGCTTGTATATTTAAAGGAATTGTAAAGAGGTATTCTATAGCATCAATTTCCACCATTCCAATTTTCAGTTAGACGTTTGTGGTTCTTGCAATTCCACAAAAACTAAGTTATTGATGTCGTCACTAATCGCGAAATATGCTGTATCACATCAGGCCTTTCGCGATTAATGACGTCATCAAACACTTAGCGGATAGTATCTATTTTCTTAAATTTGGAACAAATTGACGAGCTACTTACCTCCATTACACCAATGGTTGTCCCAGTTTCTATTAGGATCAGATCCATAACACAAAATATGTTTTGTTCTTGTTTTTCGCCATAATCGTTCCTTAAATAATGAAGATGCACATTAACACATTGCTGCAGTATTAATGCAGTTGAATTGGTTTTGACCAAGAGGCAAGTATATATAGCGTATATCTAATAGTTGGTAACTTGCGTATTTATGGGGAGGCTCAATGGGCCATGTCTCCCCCACCCCCCCCACCCCCTCTCTCGGGCATGTGATTGGTCTTATTTTGAAGTGAAAATCAAGCCCGCTAAATGCTCAAAATTCATCTTAGGCCATCTGAGAGTCCTCTGACAGCCCGCAGATCCCTGGTCTCAAGAGGCTTTGCCCATTCGGGACTTGCCTCGGAGAGACACCTGTCATTTTTGGCTCCCTCCTCAGGCATAAATACGCCCCTGGTTGGTAATGTTTGAGTAAATGCTTCCATGCAAAAATGACAATGCGGGAGAGCAAGTGTTTAATAAAGACAGGGGCCACGTGTCGCCACTCATCTAGTTGAGTCACTGTCTATATTATGTTTTTAGTCATAACCAATAGAATATATACCTTATCCCAAGTGTAAGCATAACCATCAACATTAACCACTGGTACAATATACCAATCGAACGCCTCCAGAGCAGACGTTACTTCTTTATCTTTGCCATAATTCTCCAACATCTAAAAACAAAGATAACTTGCCAAGCAAGGTAACATACGCCCACTGGCAGCTGTCAGAAATGATAGTGACTAAAGTACGTATTTTCTCACATTAAAGAAATTTTATTAGTTTGAATTCAATGATATATATATTTACTGCCAGTTATTTATGCTGAGTAATTCCACAAAATTTTTGAATGACTTGTTCAGTCATATAGTTAGGGCACCTTAAAAATCCCCACCTTTTTGAGACTCTGGGATAGTAACAGACCTGAGAAGCCATGTAGATGACAGTAGCTGGTGAAATCCATTCTCTAGCATGAATACCACCTTCAATAAAGGCTGCTGGTCGTTGATTGGTTGAGTTCGTGGGTACTGAAATCTGAAAGGCAAAAATTACATAAAAGTCTTATTTGTTTATAAGTAATCAGATAAGGGATTGAGTCAACTTGTCTATTGCTAAAATATTTGTATTAAAATTTAGAAATATAAAAACAGAATCTGAAGAACATGTACTCTTCTCAAACTTCCGCCGAGAAAAAAGTCAGTTGTGAAGATCATAACAGGGTGAAACTGAGTAACAAAGTGTTTCAGGCTCTGTTTTCACATATCAATATCAATACAATTGATTTATTGGGTACTTTTTTAACAGTGATATGCGATATTGTCTCAATTCAATCAGATTCTGATTTAAAGCACAAAAAGATGATACAAGC